GTGGAGTCTCCTTCTCTGGAGATATTCCAGACCCGCCTGGACAAGGTCCTCTACAGCCTGCTGTAGGTGACCCTGCTTGGGCAGGGCGTTGGGCTGGGTGACCCACAGAGGGTCCTTCCAACCCCTGCCAGCCTGTGATTCTGCGATTCTGTGAATTTTGGAACTCACCAGCTGTGCCATAGTGCCTGCCATTCAGCGACAGCGCTGGAACAAGGGTGCTGGGGATGCAGACATCTCGGCGTCAGAAAGCTGGGGGCCGGAGAAGGCAGAGAGCAGAGACAGAGGGGAATGAGTGTAAAGGTGGGGGAAGGCTGGTGGGAGCAGGAGCATGGGGAATTCGGAGATGAGAAGCAGAAAATCATTAGGCATGGAAGGACGGAGGCTGGGCAGAGAGCAGTCGATGGAGCACAGGTTGGGACACGGAGTGTGGGTCTGCCCAGAGGTCCCTTCCAACCTGCGATTCGGTGAAACAGGGACCTACAGAGCAGAGCGAAATGAGGAGGAACTGCTGAGCACGAGACGGGAAGGAGCACTGTTTCTAACAACCCCTGAGCCTGTCTGATCACGCTCTTCAAAGAGAAAAGCCTTGCGGATCACAGAATCACAGAATCACAGAATGGCAGGGGTTGGAAGGGACCTCTGTGGGTCATCTAGTCCAACCTTCCTGCTTCACCTACAGCAGGCTGCACAGGACCTTGAATGTTGGAGAGAAACGACTGCCAGCCAGCCTTCAAGAGGGATGAGGAAGGGAAAGCAGAGAGCAGCTTGAATATCTCGCTGAATTAGTGAGAAGCAATTTTCTGAGGATTCAGTTGAAAGCAGAAGCTTGGCTCTGAACTTCAGGAGACAATCGGCCCAGCGTGACAACACGGCCTCGCTTCTTCATCGCAGCGATTGGCAGCGAGGGACATCACGGTAACACGGACGCTTCTCCCGAGAAGCAGCCAAGTGGGAAAAGAAAGAAGAGAGACAATTCCCTAAAGCTGGCATCTCATTCTGACATCAACTCAGCTCCCTCGTGCTGGAAATGAAGCTCCAGTTCATCCAGTTGCCTTATCACAGAATCACAGAATGGTCGGGGCTGGAAGGGCCCTCTGTGGGTCACCCAGCCCAACCCCCTGCCCAAGCAGGGTCACCCAGAGCAGGCTGCAGAGGACCTTGTCCAGGGGGGTCTGGAATATCTCCAGAGAAGGAGACTCCACAGCCC